ATAACCCCCATAAAATTCCGATTAATTTTAAATACGAAAATAACGATATTTTTTCATGGAGATTTATTTTTTTAATATACCTTGTTTATACCTACACAAAAACCGAATTAGCAAAAAACCGATTGGACTCAACATATATTTCTTTACAGCATTTATCCCCCTGTCTTTATAGCGCACTCGATAAAGTCGTATTCAAAAGTAAACAAAATTGCTATTTTTAAACGACATTTTTTTAATAAATAATTTGCGCGGTTGACCGAAATGGAAACAAACAATAATTGTAATTTATTATAACAATAATACGAATTTAAAACGGGCTGTCCTATTGTCACTTCACTTTCCAATGGTGCTGATTGCTGCAAGAATTATTTAGCGATTTAGAGCATAATCAACACAATATATGCACATAAATATGTATTATTTCACAGATCTCAGGGTCAGCTTAGCAATATGTTACCAAAATTATATAAAATTTAAGTAGGAATTATTTTTATTTACAACGTAAAAGCGCTATCTGATCCAATCTGATAAGTATATTTCCCCTAAAGTTAACCCATTTTATTTAATTTGTCTCTCGTGAAAATATATATTTTATTTAAAATTTTCAGATATGTACATATATTTTAAATTTTTGCTTTAATTTTTGTATCCTTTTAATATTTAATTAGATACCTTAAGATTAAAATAAGCTTAAAACGAAACAGCACAGCAACCCTTTTCTGTTCATCTTGAGAACACAAAACCCTCTTTTGTTAAAATTCGGCGCTGCACAAAATCCTGGCTTTTATATTTTCCAACAAAATACCACTTCGCAACCCTGGATTTTCACGAAGCGTTTCATTCGGGTCGTAGTTTGGCTACTTCGGGCCATTCGGTGTTGTATGCCATATTGGCTGCCATATTGTTCACACTGTCATCGCCATATTGAACACCCTGTCAACTATCTGTCAACCCTAAGATATCTCACTTGTATTCTTCCACAATGCGAGAAGGCATACATCAAATCAACCTTCGCGGAAGCGACGGAAAGCCTAAGTATAGAGCGTAGTGCGAGATCGGTAGGGACACGATATCGAACCGAAAGTAGCGATATAGTACTCATCTAAAGTATCGCTGTAAAAGTATCGGGTACCCATTAATATCGTAATAAAAAGACTCGATATTCCAGATAGTGACGCGTATAATTGTTAAATCTTTGTAAAAAAAAATAATCGTACAGTGCGAGATTTGTTAGTATTTCTGTTATAAGAAACATATATAAGATGCCTAAACCACCAAAAATTTAAAAAGCAAAAGCTATTGCCGTAGTTAGGCAATTTCTTCTTTTCTTACCGATACCTTTCCTGGGCCCACAACTGATGTTTGTACGGAAATGAGTAAAGGCTCTGTTATGCATACTTGGCATTGCATGCACTGCTATACCATTTTTACGTAGAAATCAAAAACCAACAGACTTCTACGTATGTAGTGCTGTGCGTTCGATAACCGATTACACGCGAGGCTCATTTAACAGATTTCTTATGTGACAGCTCTCAAGCCATGCCAAGTATGCATAACGGAGCCTTAAGATTTTCGACGGTGTTTGGAATGCACGTGATTGTTGTCGCGAAGTGACGGAGGATCGGCGAAAAATATTATCTATAGCTAGAGACTTGGAAAACATATCGCTCGAGGTATCGTTGAGTGGTGAAGTTGCGTTTGCTTCATTCAACGACTCGCGATATAATAGCGCAATAACGAATACTGTTGAAGAATTGAACGATTGGGAAGCTGATGGATTGGAGACTTATCACTTGCGAGTATCGGAAAATTTATGGAATGAACTTCGTGAAGCTGAGCGAGTGCAGTACGGAAATAGAAATTATTCAATTCTTGGCCGAGGTGGTTGGACAGATACACTAGCCGAGGCATTTTTTGCTCTCACACAGATCCCTTGTGCTTTGTATTCAAAAATGCTAAATTGTACGAGCAAGAAAGTAGCATTCACGATTTGACGGTTTCGAAAAATTGTAAAAGCTAAAGTTGCGGATACGTATTCAGAGCTTATATATACGAACACATGATACTTTTTTAAAATTAGCAGAACACGAAGACGTGCGAAGGCCTACTCGACATTTGAAACGTTTGAAAATTGGAGAAGCAGCCTTCAATGAAGGTGCTGGGAATTACCGCAAACGTGAAGCTGCTTCCTACGCATCGACATGTACTCGTCTACCAGCACATCTTCCCAAATTGAGCGTTATACGGCAGTCCAAAAGCGATTACCTGCCACCGAAATATGGTGTAAAGCCCACGGATAATCAAGACGTGGTATTAACTATCGAGAGAATGCGTCATGATCCTGAATACCCGAAATTTATTCATGATGTGCAACGTGAACCGTTTTTTGTAGCGTATAGCACACCCGAGCAGTTACATTACTACAAAAGGTTTAATAAATTATGTCGTGATTCGTGCAATATTTCTATTGATGGTACTGGCAGTATAGTAAAGTCAGTCGTTAATCCCATAAGTGGTGTGAGACCGGGACACATTTTTTTGTACGCCATTGTTATTAATTACCTGGAAATCATTCTGCCAGTTCACCAAGCTCTACTTGAGAGCCAAAGCACCGATGTGTTATTATCGTGGATAAAAAAGTGGCTAACGCTTCTTAAGGCTTCAAAGCCTCTGAGAGCTCACAGTGATTGCTCCCGGGCTTTGCTGAACGCGATGTCATTGGGTTTTAATTAGAGATGGGCACGGGACCAAATATTTAATCCCGATCCCGCCCAATTTGAAATTCGATTTTTATGTGCCGAACCCGCCCATCCCGACATTTTTCAGAACTGTACCGCGGGTCCCGATATCTATCTCTAAAGCAGGCTACAAACGGGCAACAAATTAAAAACGATCGGTTGAGATTTCAACGTGTGCTGCGAGGTTTGCAAGCCGATCGAAGGTTGACAGAAATGTTCATGTCTTTCAAATTAATTTTAAATAATAAAAATAATAATGAAAGATCTGGCATCTTTCGATTATTTCGTTTTCGTCTCATAGTGCATATTTCAAACATCGTTTTTAAGAAAGATTTTGGGAGTTTGCGTGGGGTGCGGTTTTATCGGGAGTTTCGGGATTATTTTTAGAGATCTTCCCAATACCGCCCATCCCGAACAATTTTAAATCGGTACCGTGGGCCCCGCGGGTCCCGCTATCCCGCGCCCATCTCTAGTTTTAATGATCAAACTATTAAAACGTACATCGATACGATGTTTTTAAGAGCAGCGAAAAGTCCTCTGGATAAAGCAAGACCACCCATATATACATTCGTTCAATTAGACGTGGCCCATTTTATGAAAAAAAAAATATGTCGGTGGGATTGCGTGAAAAATATTGCACTCAGAAAAGTTCGGCGCTTCTATTTACTATGCGTAGCACTTCTCATTGATTGCCAATATTTGAGTCAATTTGAAGAACTACTACAATTAATTATAACAATGTCTCTACATGAATATCAAGACTCGATAACTGAATGTTATCAAAGAGCAATAGAGTCGCAAACAAATTAGAAAGCATGATCGCGTGTAGAAAAAACCTAGAGAACATCGTAAGCCCTGAAGACAGCGACGCAAACGATGATGTGCTGAAAAAGGAAGAAACTCCAGAAGACTCGAGTAATGATTGTTTGACTTATTTCCCGGTTAAAGAATGGATCACCAGTATACGAGAAAAGAGCGAATCAGTTGTCACGAAAGGTCTGGTAAGTAATGCCTTCTATGCATTTTTCTCTATGTTTCCGCTCTGGTCAGCGGCTTGTTTACCGTCGAAAGAAGAACATGCAACGACGGCTTTTTCAGAAGCCTATTTCAACGAAACAAAACATCGCGTTGTTGGCCGATCTCATGGTCGTTCTCGGGTTGATCTTTTTCTCAAGATGGAACACAAATCTGTCATGGAATTACCGTGACATTTCAGGATAAATGGGGAAGAGACAGAGCTCAAAAGTATCAAGATACTAAAATAAAAATGAACACTGAACCTACAGCTACTTCCGAACTTATACTTCCTGAAGCTCTACTACCGTCGTCGAAAAAAGATGTTCCCCCAGCCCAAATCCTGACAAATTTGGGTTGATGTTTGATCGGGACAAAATTTCAATTGATAATTGGCGTAACAAAGGGAAGATGCAAGCCAATGATTTGGATATTTCGTTACATGACAGTATGTCGGCGTCGGAAGAATGCGAAAATTCCTCTACAGAACCCATTTTATTCCAATCATCCGGCATTTCTGAAAATACAATAAAAAAAGAACCACCACAATCTCGAGAATCAATGAAAACCCAGTTGATACCTGTGACAATAAACAAATAATCCTCGAAGAAAATAACTTACTTTACTCCTCAGCCAGACATAGCGTACGAAAATTTACACTTGGGTGCCAAAAAAAAGCTGTTCTTTTATTGAATGGAAATATTCGGCCCGCTATGGATTCATTATTTGGTACTTAACACTTGCCCTTTTGACACAATCATACAAATATTGGCAGCAAGTCGCATGGATAATTTGGCGTATGAATCTTTCATTGATGTGTCTTCGTCTTTTTCTCCTGCAATGAAATTTATCTAATATTTCATGAAGAAAGGTGTCTGTGTAGATACATATCGTGAACGAACGAGATTGATAATTAATACATTTCCGGATAAAATAAAATTGCCCGACAATAACGCGAAGGCTGACAAATTTTATCCTCATACGGTTGATATGTACACAGGGACTGCTGATGTCTGGACAAAGTGTTTTGAGTCCACACCAACTGGCTACAATAGCTACAATTGCGAAAAATGTGGGCTGTACTCAACTCCTCAAAGCTGGATTTAAAAGTGATCTGGAAGCATGGCTTTAATCATTTACAA